AGTCCTATGAGTGCAAGGTGAATAATGGGGGAGGAGCAAAGAAAAAAGAGAAGAAGCAAACAAGCAAGCTCTCCAACACCTACACCAACAAGGTGGACAAGAAGGCCTCCACACCATACTTGTTAAAGAAGAAGAAAAATGACAAGGTGGTGGCCATCAAGGTGAACAAGGAAGCCAACAATGGGGTCAAACGCTTTTGGGTGCCAAAGGAGATCATTTCCAACATGAAGAGCGCCAAGAAAGTTTGGATCCCAAAAGGGAAGTGAGAAGTCCAATGGACGTCGGGGAATTTGGAGACATGGCAAAGTATGGATGCATTTCATGGGGTGCATCATGATGGACAAAATCATTGCCAAGTGGGTTAGTGAATACTATGGACCCAAATTCCCCTTCCCATGTTAGGTAACTAGATTTAATTCATGTAGTATCAATTTGCATTTTCTACAAGTGGTATTTCTTACAAATTGGTATCTTTAAGCATCTAGTTATTTTTCATGCCTATGTTTGCATTTGCATGCTTATGTCTTTTGTCATGCATACACTAGGTATATCTTATGGTAGGCTTGCTCGGTTTCATTCTTAACCCTTGGAGCAAACCTACATGGTTTAAAATTGTTTAGGAGCACGGCACATAGCTTGTCTTTTAATTATTCATCTAATATGTGCCAAAGTCCAAATTGTAGATAATTTCTCCCAAATATCATCTTCGAAAATGATTCTCACATTCATGAGATGTCATCTTTCAAGTGGTATTATTGATTCTAAAATCAATGTGCATGACTTCTACAAGTATCCCATACTTGTGTGCACAAATTTAGGGGGAGGTTACCCTACAAGTTGGATGCTTTGAGACTAACACCTTTTCAAGCTTATCATGTGTGTAGTAGTCTCATTGCAAGGAAAATGGAGTCCCCGGAGTTAAGCATCATACTTCAAATATCCACCACCTATTGCAAGTGGTAGAAATCAAATTGGCTTCCACATGTGGTATTTCTAAACCGATATCATCATATTGATTTCATTTTGATATTTATATGCTTTCTCCATGCATTATATAGATTAAATTCCCTTATGCAATAATTTGCCAAATATGCATATACTTTGCCTTCTACCATATGTATGCATATATTTAGGGGGAGCATAATCTATATAATGTGAGAGTCAAATTTTGTGACCTATTCCACTCTACACACAAAGGATCACAAAGTTTGACCCTCCCTTGTGCTACTAATGTTTTCCTTTTCGGTGTTTGATTCCAAAGGGGGAGAATTTAGAGGACCAAAAGCAAGCATTAATGGTCTACAAGTGGTAATGGTCCGAGAAAGGGAGGATAGTGGATTATGAATTAGTCTATGTAATGAGAAGAATTTGTAGGAAGCAAGGCTTAAATCCATAATGCCACATGGGAACATTTTGCAAGGGCAAGATAAGTTTTTATGTAGTATCTTTTAGTCTTACAAGTAGTATCTTTTAGCAACATATAAACTTGCCCCTTGCATTGCATCCTAGCAAGTAGGTAGTTTTCAAATTTTAAAATTTTATTATTTGCTTGCTTTGGTCGTGTTGTCATCAATCACCAAAAAGGGGGAGATTATAAGAAAAATGGACCCTTCGCCCATTTACTTTGGATTTTGGTGTTTGATGATCAACACAACCAAATTGGACTAATGAAGTTGTAAGTGATTGTTTTGTAGTTCAATAGGATGTAAGACATGACTTGGACGAAGGCGACATGATGATCCGATGATCAACACCATAAGCAAGACCCTAGAAGCACAAGAGAAGACCCAAGATATCAAGCAAAGCCCAAGCATGAAGACAGGAACCAAGCCGTACGCAAGATCGCGAAGAAACGAGCTCACTGAAGTGACCGGACGCTGGACCAGACACTGAAGGAAACTGACCGGACACTTCAATCAAGAGGCTTGGCAATAGGCGTGACCGGACGTTGGACCGGATGTTGGCGGCAGATCAATCGGATGTAGGACAGCAGAGTCCGGTCGAGTACAGAGAGGTTCCAGAGCGGCGAAAATGCGACCGGACGTGTCCGGTGGCATGTGACCGGACGCTGGCAGCGTCCGATCAGTGGATCGCGGCTCCAACAGTCGGGACGACCGGACGCGTCCGGTCAGGACATGATCAGCGTCTGGTCAGTAGTGATTCATTAGGTGATTAGCGTAGGTGCTTTGCGAAGTGCTTAGGTTGATTAGACAACCGCTTATGCGCTTGCTCTAGGTTTAGGCCTAGTGTTTAGTGAGGTTTGCATACCTCTTACCACTCGGTGCTTGCGCGCACCATTGTTGTACATCGGAAGGGCTTGTAGTCTTGCGAGATCACATCAACCGCGTTTGTGGTGTGGACGCCACCGTGTACCGGAGGGAACAAGGCCCGCGGCGTTTCGGCCGGAAGCTTGATAGTGAAGACGATGGGGAGCATCCGGGAGAGGCTTGCCGGAAGGCACGTCGGAGACCCACTTGCGCGTAGAGATGGCCTGAGGCTATCCACGGAGTTACCCGACCGGGAGCTTGGCCCTTGCGAGGGATTCCTTGCGAGGGGCTCCAACGAGGACTAGAGGGAAGCTTGCGCGCTTCTCGATACCTCGGTAAAAATACCGAAGTCATCGACGGGAGTTTGCATATCTCTACCTTGCTCTTTAGATTCCGCATTTACTTTGATTGTATTACTCATTTTTACAGTAGAGATAGCAACACACTAGCAAAACCGTAGTTGCACATTTAGATAGTTTATCATTTGCATAGGTTATGCTAGGGGTTGAAAAAGAGGCCATAGTTTAGAGTTAGTTGCCTAATTCACCCCCCCCTCTTAGGCGTCACGGTCCCCTACAACGGGCACTGAACATTGCCTCACCTACTTTCTGACAAGTGGTCAGGCAATAATTTCTTCGGCATCCCTGAGTATATTCTTTTCAAATCCTAGCACCGACTACTACTACTCAGACATAGGCTTCGGGGGCTGCTGGATACACATCCTCAGAAGACGATTTTTATTCTTTTTCAAGAATTTGTAGAAAAGACCCTTCAACTCTTTGTTCTAAACAGCAAGAGCCTCAGGGGCGATACTTAGTGAGTGCACTTTTCAGGAAAGTGCACATCACCCGGAGTTTTCAAGAGCACTCTATGGTTTCTCTATAGAAAGCACTCGAACAATACTTATTTCTACTTGGCAAGACCCAAAGGAACAAGAAGGCTTCCAAGTTTAACCATGAAACGATCGGGGGCTTATCGATGCAGGACCCTAGGGGTTCCCTATCGGGTCAACTTCTACGCTGGGCCCATGGCTGCCCACTATCTGTTTGAAGGACACGGTGCAAGGAGGCGTGGACTTCAAGCCATCAAGGACAGGAAAGCAAGATTCTGTAATAGAATTAGGACTCTTCTGTTATAACCGGCTAGGACTAGAAACACACATTTGCCCTCTCTCTCCCTATATAAAGAGAGGCACGGTGCACCTCCTTGTACCCTAACAATCATACAATCAATCCAGTGCAAAAGGCTCACTCCGACTGGACGTAAAGGCTATTACTCGATTACGAGGGCCCGAACCAGTATAAATCGTCGTCTCTTTGCGTTCACCGTTGAGTTCCTGAGTTCATCGAAGCCCATCGAACACCGTGACGGGTTGCCGGTCGTCAAACACCGATAATATTTTAAGCCAATTGCCATAACTGCACATTTTTAATTTAACTTTACAACACACTTTGATATTTTGATGGAAAGAACCAAATCGTTACAAAAACCCTATGATGGCAAGCAACATGTTCTAGAAATAAAAAAGAGTAAATTGGACGGCTGGTCCTTAAAGTATTAGGCTGATTTCGTCTGGGTCCCCAAACTATGAAATCGCACTTTTGGCTCCCCAATCTACTTAATTCGGTCCATATAGGTCCTAAACAGCCCAAGCGGTGTCAAGCAGACGACGTGGCTGTCCACGTACGCAGGGGAGGCACGTGAGGTCTTCTTGGTGATGCGGCACCACCCGGCGCCCTGGCAGTTGAACACGCCCACCACACCCGTGCACTTGTTCACGTTCCAGATCTTGAGCAGGCTGCGCAAGGTCACGTTACATTACATTACAGCTATAGGTGTTAGCCTAGGAAAACGATGGAGGATTGCTCACCTAGTACCGTCGCGCGCCGGGTCAGTGAAGAGGCAGTCGCGGGTGGGGCGGCCGGGGAGCTGCGCGCGGAGCACGGAGCTGTCGAGGAGGACCAGCTTCTTGAGCAGCTCGAAGTTGTGGTTGCCTGGCTTGTCGCTGCGACAGAGACACGTGAAAGTAGAGTGTCGCCCAACCAAGTCGCTTGTTGGGTTGACCACAGATAGAGAGCGCGACGGGCTCACGCGCCGTCCCGCCGAAGGCGTGCGGACGGCGACACGAGCAGCCACGACCATCGTGTCGTCATTGTTGGGCGTGGAAAGCGCATAAGCCGTGTAGATTGCTATCTGCAGCTTGTGTGCGTGCAAGGCGCGCACTTATGATGCGCTTCGCCGATGGCGACGGCTAATCATGGCGGCGCTGGTGATCTGGTCGGGCGTCGAGTGGCACCTCGCCGCCATGCCGTAAGGGCAACCCAATCATTCGGGCTTTTCCCTGTCTCGAGGATCGATCATTGTCTTTGGCCTAGCTGCGACGGACGCCACGATCGACAACAACGTCGTTGCTCGATCGGGGAGAGCTAGTTGTCGGTCTCACCGACGAGATCAGTAGACCGCCGCCGATCGCCCTCGCCGCGCCGTGGTACTCCGCCCGCTGGTGCGAGCTGCGCATCGAGGCACATCTAACTTGATCATCATCCACCATCGATCGATCACTCAAGTACACATACAAGAGAAAATTGAGACGTACATGGAACATGCCCCGGTCCGGCTGCATGAACTCGCCGAGGAAGAGGGTGTTGTAGGCGGACGGAGGAGACGTGGACGGGTAAGCGACGCGCGCCACGCAGTAGAAGTCATCGGGGCGCGCATGACGGCGGTCTATCGTCATGTTGTAGAGCATGTCGGTGTTGTGGCACATGCAGGAGATGCATCCGTTGTCGCGGGAAGTTGTGCGCCATCGAGGCCTCGAAGCAGCGGTGGTATGCGCTGGTGAGCGCTTGACGCGTCATTGTGCCCAAAGCGCCGAAGCGTCTCGATGATGTTCTGCGCGTCCACCTTGACGCCGTCCATGCCACAGGAGGCGAGGTACGAGTGCAGCTCGTCGTAGAAGCTGAGTTCCCTACGCGGGTGCACCAGCCCCAGCCCCAGCACGGAGAGTGAGTCCATGACGATGTCCAGCTGGTTGCCCATCACCCCCGGCGACTGCACCGGGTACGCCAGCGCGCTCTCGTAGTGCTCCATCCCTTCCGCCGCCGGCTTCACACCACCCCAGTATCCTGCCATGGCGTGCCACACGTACACGTACTTCACGCCGTGATCCCGCTTCGCCTCCTCCACCAGCAGCTTCAGCCCCGGCATCTGGGACTGCTGCTCGCCGCCGTCCTTGTCGTCGTCGGTCGTCTTCTTCTCCTTCTTCTGGAACTTGGCGTTCTCCTTGATCCCCGTCAGCCTGCTGGCAAACCTGTACGAGAAGCACCATTGGAGACCAAATTGAGCTTCGCTTGTTCACCGGAGCAGAGCTGGCACACAATAATATGAAGACGGCAGTCATTCCTGGACGACTCCTTGTTCTTGCTGCCGATCTGCTGCCACCCGTCGTCGATGATCAGGAACAGCGGCGGCGTGCCGCCCTCCGCCAAGCTGGAAAGTTCCGCCAAGCAGCAACGGCATCACCTTCACCATGGGCGTTCAACGTCTGGTACGGCAGCCGCCTCGTCATGTACCACAGATACCAGGGCGGCACCGTCTTTGCCGTCTCCGCTGCCATTGTCGTCGGTGGCCTGTACGTGACCGTGATTTTATCATCAGTCTGCTCTGCTGCATGTTACTCCTAGTCCTAGATGATGATGTGATGATGGCACCATTAACGAAACCATGCAGAGCTCTGGGGTCCGGGCTGTCGAACGTCAAGTACTTCTCCGAGGCAAGCTCGGCGGCGGAGAGGGTCCAGGAGGTGATCCAGCGGGTGCCCAAGATCGACTCGGAGAGCAGTGCCGGAGACGAGCTGGCCAACGTCGTTGGGGAGGTGGAATTCAAGAACGTGGAGTTCTGCTACCCGTCGCGCCCGGAGACCCCGATCTTCGTGAGCTTCAACCTGCGCGTGCCGGCGAGGCGCACGGTGGCACTGGTGGGCGGCAGCGGGTCCGGGTAGTCGACGGTGATCGTGCTGCTGTAGCAGTTCTACGACCCGACGGCTGGGGAGGTGACCCTGGACGGCATGGATATCCGGCGGCTACGGCTCAAGTGGCTGCGCGCGCAGATGGGGCTCGTCAGCCAGGAGCCAGCGCTGTTCGCGACGTCGATCCGGGGATTAGACCTCACGTGCCTCCCCTGCATACGTGGACAGTCACGTCGACTGTTTGACACCGCTTTGGCTGTTTAGGACCTATATGGACTGAATTAAGTAGATTGGGGAACCAAGAGTGCGATTTCATAGTTTGGGGACCCAGACGAAATCAGCCCAATACTTTAAGGACCGATCGTGCAATTTACTCAATAAAAAATGAGAATGTAATAGCCACAGCAATACAAATGAACATGCAAAAAAAAATGAATGTGACACAATGTAGTGCACTGATGTTTTTAGCGTGTTCAATTGTTATGGTTAATTCTATGAATGCAATTGGTTATTTTTATTCATTATATAAATGGACCAAAAAGAATGGAATTTGTCAAAATCTAAGCAAGGTAACTGAATTCTGTCAACTTGTTAACAGAAAGGCCATGGGATCTGCGAGTTGCTAATGAAGGAAGTCAGGGATGTGGCACAAAAATTCTTTCAGCTTCCTTATGAGGAAAAAATGAAGATTAAGATGACACGTCAGAATGGATATAGGTGTGTGACTGCATAAACATGCCTATTGTCCTTAAGTCCATATATGGTTATTGGGAAATTTATAATTGTTCCTTTTTTCTAGAGGATATCAAAGACTAGGCGAGTTTATTACCATGGAGAAACCTGACATGCATGAAGCAATTAACGTAAGTTGTCTGATATCTATTTCTCTCTGCATTTTTTTTCATGCTATATATGTTAGTATGATGGAAGTTAACCATGAACAATTTTGGTAAAACATTTGGAGGATCTAACTAGGTATGATATCTATGGCAGTACTTGACTCCTATTGTACCTGGCAAATACGGAAATCTTGGTAAAGCAATTGAAGGATCTAACTTGTGGTATGATTCTGAATTCTATCTTTCCTCTTTGATTTTTGTCACTAATACATCTAGAGTCACCTTATATAGAGAACATGGTCAATTTGAATAACTGCACACCTAAAACTGGAAACAAATTCGATATGAAAAACTAAGTTTCTTTCATTTTTGAACAATAGGTTTCATTTTATAAAACCCACTTCTACATTCTTTTTCTGAAGAAGTATGCGTTTCTCAGTAATTATCAGCCAGCAGATTGAGTATGAAAGAACATTTTATAAGATACCGTGAAACCACTCTAATCAAAGTGCTGAACTACTGATAGAGTGATTGTGTGCACAAAGTAAATTGCGTGCGCGCGCGCGTGTTGTGAAAATTACATAATAAAGTATATATGTAGTCCATACACCCCGACACATTTGTTATACATTGTAATTAAGAAAAACTGCATATATCAATAGATATGCTGCTACCACCAACAATGTAATGCCAGTGCTATAACAAAAGCTGTTGACTATAGAAAACAATAGAACCTTTGGATCATGTAGCTTGTGCATGTTGCTACCCATGGTCACTTGCAATGAAAACAAGAGTTTGCCTATTTCCACCAGCGAAACAAATCAATAGCTTTCTTGCAGGCCTGAATATCCATCAAATTCTAAGTTACTGCTGGAAAACTATATCAACCTTCTTAAAGGTTAGCTTCTCTACTGTACTCCAATCATTCTCTTTTTCTCACCTTGACACTACGGGTACTCATCATGCAATTCCTCACTACAGATCTTTCAAGGAAGATCATGCGAGGTATAGCCTTGGCATTGGGAGGGCCAGTTGATGCATTTGAAGGTACAATAGCAGGAGATCCTTATTGGGGAATCCGGCTGGTTAGCTATCCCGGTTGGTTAATTGATATTCCAGAAGAGAAATGCACTAAGACTGGGATGTAAGGGAAAACATGGTGGCCATTAATTTCTTTTAAAATTTTGTTGTCCTGAAATTTATGCTTTCTAGGTTGATACATCTAACTGTGTTTTTTTGGTACTTTCATGCATCCGGTTAAAAATTCTGGGGGTCTCACACAGATTACGGTTAGTACATCTTTTCGAGAGTTGTTTTATTATTGGTCCTATTTTGTACTTTTCAAATTGTTGGATCACTTCTCTCACTTTATTAGATCGAAAACCACAGGTCTTCTCACTCTGGTTAACCAGGATGATGATATATGTGCCCTTGAGGTACTTGTTTCCTTCTTCCCTTTTTGTGTAACCTTGTATGTATATTATTAATTGTATTATCACTTGTCACTGTCTTGGCCTCTCTTAGGTTTGTTCGTCTGAATAACCTCATCTTCTCTGACATAAAATGTAGGTGTTTTGTATGATTATGGTAGAGACCTTTAGGTCCTGGTTAACAAGATGCTTAATTTAGTACCTGCAAACAGTACAACATAATCCAAATCCTGTGAAATTCCTATATTTCCTCATCTAATAATGTGTCGTACTGTAGATGTATCGGTGGCTTGTATTTATGCATATATGTATGAAGTATATAACTTTTATGTAGTACTATATTGCATATGTTTGTCAATTCCACTGTTCTTACCTTTTCACAGAGTAAATACAGGCAAAAAATGATCTGTATAAAATCTTTGGTAATGCAATTTCAGGTTCAAAACCAGTCTGGTGAGTGGATACATGCCGGGCCTATTCCTGGAACATTTGTTTGCAACATTGGCGATATGCTCGAGGTTTATTTTGCCCAATTTACCCTCCTGTCATTTCTAATTGATTGTTCATAGCTAGCTAGGTAGCTTAATTACTAGTCATCATGTTTCACTTAGGTCTACTCAAATGGAATTTATCATCCCACGGTTCATAGAGTCATCAACAATTCCCCTTGTTGCCGTGTATCTGCTGTGTTTTTCTACGAGGTATATCATAAGTGACTACTACAAATGGAATTTACTTTTTAATATTTTTTCATAAGTGACTACTACAAACGGTCTTTACAAATGGAATTTACTTTTTAATATTTTTTCTGAAAGTTGAACCCATTGATGCAGACGAACTTCGATACTGCCATAGAGCCCGTGGGGTTTTGCAAGGAGAAAACTGGTGGGGTCGCCAAATATGAGAAGGTCGTGTATGGGGAGCATCTGTTTCGCATGGCCTGCGATTGTTATGATGATGTATAGGTCGGGTCACATTATTTGCACATATACATATATATATTGTTAATCTAAAAGAAAGGGATTAATAGAATCTGTATATGATGTAAGATGTCGTCACTTTTCTGTAACTGATGTTACATTTTGTTATTTTGTGGAGTAAATTAAGGGTTAGTCAACTTACTCGCTAGCTCCATATCAAAGGGATGACGATTTGCGCATGACCCTGTCGGCTGCCTACCATGCGATTTGCTCCAATAATAGCCAATGATTTTTTAGGATGTGTCTTAATCACTACTACAACAGGCTTATCATCATCGCTAGCTCCGGAGACCTCATCATCGCCAGTATCGTCTCTCTTTGATGAAAGTGGACAGTGATGAGGTGGATCATCGCCGATTATCACCGTTCTCAACTTTTATAAACTGACCGTGATAATCAGGGAGTAAAAGAATAAAAGGCGCTGGCCAGCCCATCTTCTATCCTTGGAGCTCATTGCCAAGGCCCGGATCCCAAACCAGGGCGAGGAGGGATCTGATCTGCTCTACTATGGATCTGACGAGCGAATGGATAGGTGTGTTTTTTAGGGCAGTTCCAACGAAAGAAATGATTAGTTTCAATAACATAGGATACCGCAAAAAAAAAGTACTGTTTTCTAACCCATGGTTTCTATGAGTAATAATTGTTTTCTCTTTCTCTCTCCCAACTCTATCTTCTTCCTCCAATGGGAATGCGACACGAGCTCTCTAGGAACTGGTGGTTTCTCCCCAATGGCGATTTCATGGTTTCTTGGTGAATTGGGTCAAGAGTAGACCTGATTTCTTCATTAGAAAACCATTTCTATGATTTTTGCCCTCTTTCTTCGTTAATTACGTTGCCATGTCAATGTTTTACCTACGTAGCAAGTCATTTAATGATGATAGAAACCATCATTAATACACCATTGGGACTGCCCTTATTAATTATTATTTGAACTATTATATTTAAGGAGGGATTAGAGCATTGGTATTGTAGCACTTGTGATTTTTTTGACTGGTACAACCATTCAATTGTCTGGACCTGTGCCAGCCATGGGTGTCGACGAAGAATCAGGTATCGGCTTTTTGCTTGCCTTACCATGTACCACCAGTGGCACTGCTAGCACTTCCAACCCCCTTTCTGGTACCGGTCTCTCGCTCCATAGTAAAGATTTCTCTAGGGTCTTTGTTATATACATTTTCTTTATCATTTTCTCCATATTCTTTTGGGTCAATATCCATATCAATAGGCATAGGTTTAGCCATCTTTTCCTCTTGTTCAACCTGAAATTGCACCATAGACAGTCTCGATCATTATTTTAACATATTCTGGGGTCATTGAATTTGTTACTACTTTTCCCTTCAAAAATGGAGTTGCAGTGTGTTGGGTTTCATTGGAGAAGTGAAAACCAAATGTGCGCCAAAGCTATAATTTTTTTTGAGAGAGGGTAAAAAAAATGTGCAGAAAAATGAAATTGTGAAGACGTGGTTACAATTCTAGGGTCTTCTAGAAGAATTGTTGGAGTTCTCAATAATTTGGGACATTAGGTCCATATTAGGGATTACTAAAATCGTTGATATATTTATCAAATTTACCAATGAGCACGATAAGACCTCCGCACAAGGCATGCACGAGATTTATTCAATGGTACGTACGCATGTGCGATTGCAGTTCAATACCATAGAAATCTTACCTATTCCTGTATATACGTAACCCAAATAGGGCTATAGAAAAAGTTCTTATAGACCCTGTTTCTAAAATTTCTATGTTCAAATAAGACGTAATTAATTATATACAGCTTGGTTTTGTGTTGGCAAAGGCAACATTAATGTAATTAGTAAACGGTGGTACCTGTTACACCGTAAAGGGAAACGGCTTTTGTTTGGTTGCTCCCTTGAGGTCTTGATCGTTTCTGTTCCCGCGAACTCACGAAGAAGAGAGGCTGCGAGACTGCAGAGGCAATAGGAGCGGAGCGAGATCACATAACACCTGGAGGGGAGCGGTATTGACATTTCGTAGGCCCATAACAATCCCGTTGTGATGGATTACAACCCGACCCAATCAAACAAAAGTGATGATATGTGAACTGTTTACACATCTAAAATGACGAACCAACAGTACTACTAGAAGTATTTGTAGCGGTGGCCAGCCTAGCCGCCTCTACTTTTCCGTTTCTTTAAATCAACAATTTGTATAGGCAGTTATCCAATGGTCTCTACAAATCGCATTTCTTTGGATGGCTAGCAACATGAGCCGCTTCTAGAAAGCGATTTATAGAGGCAGCTGTATTCGGAGCCGCCTCTAAAAATCGTTGTCCAGAAATCACAAGTCTAGACCTAAAAATAGAAAAAAAATTTGAGAGACCCTACCAAACAACCACACGCGCACATTGTCACAAGACATGTGATTTTTGGCCGTGGCGGCTCAAACCCTGAACCTGCAGGCTCATGCTATCTCCTCTAACCACTCCACCCATACGTTATTTGTGTGCATATGAGATATATATTCTCCTCGTATTATTTTCATCCAATTTTGAAATAAGAAATTAGGACCCCAAACGAATTTAACTGAAAAAGGTTTCAACTACGAAGTTGTAGATATCGTTGAGATATCTAACTTTAGTTTTGGTCGTTTCGCCAGCCGAAGTTGTTTGAAAATTTTGAATTTCAATCGTGAGAAATTCAAACGTAATTTTTTAATAGATGGTTTCAAATGAAAAGGTTGTCGACTACAAAGTTGTATTACTCTTTTGAGATCTACAATTTTATTTTGGTCGTTTTTCGTTCGAGATTGTTTAAAAAAATTAAATTTCATTGTGTTGCACCTATTAGAGACGGCTCTAGATACAACTGCCTCTAGAAATCTATTTGTGGAGACGATTGGATCTAGAACCGTCTCTAAAAATAGAGCCTTTTGTAGACATGGCTGAAAATAACATCTTTTATAAATATATTTGTAAAGACATCTCGGTTCAGAGCGATTCGCAGATCGAGGTGGCTGTGTCTATTCAAAAAGTGGTGTTGCTAAAAAATCAAATCTGTAGTAGTACGAACGGCACCGTGGTGTGTGACTGGATCCGCTCGTTAGCTAGGTCGATGGTTGTCAAAGCCAGTGCCATCTTTTGGAGTGCAGCCCGGCCTGGCATAGACTGTCGTTCGTCAAATCCCTATTTTGGAGTCTTGCTGCGGAGTGTGTTGTGTTGTAGGAGTAGCTATCGTGCGTTGTACTTGTACACTATTGTGTGGAAGGAACAGTTCTTTTGAACGAATATGTTGTGGAAGAGTTTGGAAAAAGTTTGTAAAACCTCGCAATCGATCCTCTCGCCGTCGTTGCTGAAGAAAATAATATACTTAGACCTCTTACAGTCGTGCTCAGCTTGCGTACATCAGCACATCTATGGTTTACACTTGTGCAAATAAGTCGTCACCACCTGTATGGCTGTATCTCCAGTATCTGCGGGCTTTTGTCCTCATTGAGAAAATGAATTAAACCACGAAGGCAGCGTAGAAAAAGCCTGCACGAAATAAAAGCACTAACTTTTGACGTCTTTCAAGTGCCAACTATTCGTCCATCTGTCCACTTCGAAGTTACGTAACGTACGTACATACGGGAACAGGAAACAGTGAACTTACGGCGACACGATAGACTATGGAAACAGCAGCTCGCGGGGCGACTTCTCGAGGTGTCCAGAAGTTGATGCATGACTATATAATATAGGCCACGTTTAGTTGGTCACCAAGTTGGCGCCGATTGATTTCGCGAAGCACTGTAGCTATAGTACTTATTCGTTTTTATTTGGTAGTAATTGTCCAAATATTGACTAATTATGTTCAAAACGTTTGTCTCGTAAAGTACAACTAAATTGTGCAATTAGTTTTTTATTTCATCACACATTTAGTACTCCATACATGTATCACAAATTTGATGTGACGAGAAATCTTCTTTTTGCATAGTATCAAAGTTGGCATTTTAGATGAACTAAACAGGGCCATATATGAGGAAGAGACGTGCGCCATGACATTTCGTCTTGTGCAGCACGGGCACGGCTGACTGGCTGAGTGGCCCACAGCGACTCGGTGACAGCTGCACGCCACTGCTTTGCTCGCAACGCGTGGTACATGTGCCACCGCCGCTATATATGTACGGTATATACATATATGGCTACGCTCCCCGCGCCGTGCATCAGCCACCAATACCGCCGCCGCCGGTTCTCGTCGCCGCCGGCACCAGTACTCCTCCCCCATAGCCATTCCACTCATCTCCGCCCACTCCGCCGCATGGCGCTGTCGCCGACACTGTGCGCGGCGACGGCGGCGTCCAGGAGGGAGGCTGCGGTGTCCCGCATGCCGCGGCTGGCGCACAGGGAGGTGATGCTGGCGCTGGCGCACCAGATGGAGGCACGTCTCGGCCCGCGGCTGCTACCCTCGGAGGTGCCCGCGGACGTGGCCTGGTTCGGGGATGGCGCCGTGCCGGGGGCCGCGCTCGGATCCGTCGACGTTCACGGGGGCGCGCCTGGCTCCTCGGTACGCTTCATCCCGGTGCAGTCGTATTTGTTTTTCGACAAAAAAAAAAAGCTCGTGGTTTAGCTGACTTTCGAAATTGCTACGATTACATTTTGTTCTTTTTTTCTGTTGAAGTAGATTTCAAAATTAGCTCCTCTCATTAGGTTTTATCAGCTAGAATCTATAGTATTTTTCTCTCAAAAAATCAGATTTAGTCAGCTTATCAGCTGCTTTAATACCAGCCGAACAAACCTTTAAATTAAAATTATGTTCGAAACAGCGTGGAGACTATAACAATACACGTACAATTATGTCCATTTCAAACAAGTAATCATGCATGCACCAACAACGGTGCACCAGTGCTCACATATTTTTTATTTTGTGGCGGGACTACATGCATGCAGATGCAACAAGATGACAAGGCGAGACTAGCTTGTAGTAGGATTCAGCCTAGTCATCCAGGCCCCAGAGATGGAGCTACCCATTGATTGGTTGCCTAGAATATAGCAACCGGACCTGGCCCATTACGAACTGATTAATGGTGGGGTGTCCCTGAAATCGTAAATAAAAGAGAGAGAAACATGGCACCACATACTACTATAAAATTATTTATTTATTGCAACTGCCTCTATCAAGGGTCTCTAGAAATCGATTCTAGATGGACGTCTATGTAAATAACTCATTAACAGAGGCCATTTGAATTAGATGGTCGACCTGCCTGCCTCACTTAATAAAAAATATCCACTTCTAAAAATGCTTTTCATAATGGTATATATCAGATAAGAAATTCTTTGAAGTGAGTATATAAGGAATTCTTTGAGTGAGTATAAGGACCAAATGCATAGTAATTAACCTATTAGTTTTGATATTTCAATTATTTACTTTTTTGTTCACATTTTTTATTTTGTCTTTTATTTGTTAGCATTTCTAGTGAGGTTAGATGCATTAATTTCATTATTGACATTTATTTGATTTTTTTAAAAATGTTTAAGTGTTGTTTGAATTTTAGTTTTTTATGTTTCTGCACTTCTTTTTGTTTATTATATTATAATTTCAGTGAAAGTAAAATTTTAATATAATTTATATTTGAAACTTATAATGAAAAGTTTAGAAAAGATAAGAGCATCATCATGAGTTTTGTAAAATAACTCCCTATTTTGATTTTTTTAGTAAAAAGGGCAAGAAGTTCCCTTCAACAATTTGGTAAAAGAGCTTCTCAGAAAAAAAAAGTTGCTAAATATCCTCTTTAACTCTGTAAGTTTTCATAGTTGAGAGGAACTCTATATCCGCTCCCCATGTGGTGTTTTTCTCGGGAGGTCGGAGTAAACTCGACGCATGAGCAAATTAAGAAAATAAAGGGTTCCAGTTGAGAAGGCTATGGCTGCGTTCGGCTAGTGGAAGTTTCAGCCGGAATTCACTGTTCACGCTCTCACAAATTCCTCCAGATTCCTCAAAGGGAACAGGCCCTATAAGAGGCAAAGAAGATACCATGAATTTAAGTTGTTAAATTAAGAAAATAAAGGTTTCCATTAAAAAATAGGTTTGATTGGTTAGAAATAGTTCAGTGTTCCAAATGTAAAATTATTTAGAAAGCTATTGTAGGAGACTGTTGGAGAACGATAAAATTTAAGTTTCCTATTTCTGTTGTTAACTTGCTAGATCTATTAGTTTAGCAAGTAAACTAAACCAAACTCCTAGAGATACTTTAGCAGCTTAAATTCACGGTATCTTCTTTTTTGGGATGAAAAGATAACAACTCAAATTCACCAAACCACCTTGGCTAACGCCTCACTGAACTACATATTTTTCTGGCAGTACTTATAGATGGCCAAACGGGCCGCATGTCGAGCCGAAGAGGGCTTCGTGTTTGGACATCGGCCCAAGCTCGACACGTCAGGCTAATTTTTGGGCCAGACTGTATGTCGAAGAGGGCTTCGTGCTTCGACATCGGTCCAAGCACGGTTGCAGCAGCAGGGTGGGCCAGTCTGAGGCCCACGCACGTCTCTGCTTCCGTGGCCCCGTGAGGGAGCACCGTCATGGCTCCGCCACAATGTCACGAAGGAGCGCCGTTGCTGCGTCGCGAAGGAGTGCCGCCGTGCGGCGGCTTCCATGGGATAGTGATGTATATTTCCAAAAACAAAAACAAAAACAAAAAAGAAAAATTGTACCAGTCGTAGCTGCCACCGCCCTTCCACCACTGTGCGCCACCAGATTTGGCATTCTCCTTGCCGGATCCGGCCTCCCTCCTCCTAACTTATTGTGTTTGTAGCTCGTCGTCGCCACCCCTCGCTAGGCCCGCACGCCACAGCCACCGCCTTCTCTCGCTGCGCCCACCGCCATCCCCACTCGATCGCCAATCATGCATGCTGCCATCACCGCTAAGGCACCACTGCCCCGAGGTCCGAACACCGTCGTTTGCTTATGGAAGTTTACTTGGTCAGCAATCTAGGCCATTAATTTTTAGTTTCTGGTGGTCAAGGTTTGTTGTCTGACGATAGCAACCAAACAGGCTCTTGCTCCCTTGTTAAAGTCATGCTCTCTCTGTGCAGATCGACTTCATGCTGGAAGCCTGGTTCCACCGCGCACTCCCGACCGGTGGCGCCATCGACATCACCTCTCTCGTCGTGTTCCTCAACGGCACCACCGACGCGCCACATTTCCTCATGGAGCTCATCCAAGGCGGCCCGTCCTCCCTCGTCGTCCTCCTCGACCTCTTCCCGCGCAGGGACCTCCCGGTCCACCCGGACTACATCGACAAGTACTACGGCGCGACCGGCGTCGACGCTCATCGTATCAACATCGAGAAGATCCCTCAGGTCCGGCCGTATGTCTCGCCGTCGCTGCTGGTCCGGAGCCTGTGGTCACCAACGGCGGTCGTCGTGGACGTTCAGTGCGGGGAGGGTAAGGAGGCCGTGCTTGAGGAGATTGTGCGGGGCCAGCTTGCACAGTCCGCCGTGGAGCTTCTTGATGTCTGGCTCCAAAAGTGTGCGGGGAGTGTCGTGGAGATGGAAGAGACGGAGAAGGAGAGCTTGGTGGCGAGGGACAAGATGATCTCAACCACATCGGTGAAGCTTAACCTGTCTGCCAACCTACCCAAGATATTTGACAAGCATGTGTCTGATAGGGTAGTGGCTGAAATCGACAAGGCCTTTCGTGGGCCATAATGTAATACTGCAATACACTATAATCATTAATTCTGTTCTTTTGGCTCCAACTCAGATTTTAAACCTCACTTTCGTCTTCCTGTACGTAACTAGTGAGATCCACGTAATTTCTGTGTGCTAGGATACTCCATTCGTCAAAAAAAATAGAACTTCTATTCAAACTTTATCCCAGAACTTGTCAATGTAGCATTTGGACAACTAGTGAGGTCAAACCGTCAAAGTATAGACAGTGCCGGTCCTGTATTTTAAGGGCCCTCTGGTGATTTCATCGTAACGGCCCCTCTTGATCATGTATAAAATCTTATAATATATAGACGTTAATTTTACTTGCAAAATAAAAGCAAATTCAATAATATATTTTTAATTTAATATGTCTGGTAATTATCGAGGAACAATGTAGATTAAGCAATATATTTGTAGATGTATGATAATTATCGAGGAACAATGTAGATTAAAAAAGCAATATATTCGTTTTCTTTTCTCACCATGACAAATGTTTCTTAGGTAACATTATAAAATTCTAACACCTAAATTAGAAGAAAAATATAACTATATGGGTACAAAGTACTATAAGTCTGGAATACTATACAAATAATTAATTTGGATTAAAAATAAAAAGAAAAAAAATACATTGGGCCTAAACAACTGATCGGTGATCGCAATTCATAAGAAGCCAAGAATCAAGATGTCATTGTCGTGGAGCTCTGCCTGGTCGCCGTCCTCGTGCGCCGTGTCCGTGTCTCTGGTAGTCTAGCTCTTCACGGCGGCGCGGCTCGCCAGCTCTGCGTGTGTAAGGCGCACGTCGTGAACTCACGATCAGAGTGTGTTGTGTGCAGCGTGACTCCTCACATCCTCTCTAGCCGAGGGCCGTAGAAAAAGGAAACTAGGAAAGAAATGCCGATATTTTCTTTTTGACCGCCTGGCTAGTTCTGTGTCTGTCTTCTCATTAGTTTGCTAATGACTAATGAACTATAGGACCTAGGGGTTTATATATCTGGGCTTGAGCCCCTCCTTCGTTTGGGCCCTCGGCCGTCGCACCTCGTGTCCTACCCCTAGGGCCGGCACTGAGTATAGAACACAGTTATCCCGCGACAGGCCGCGCTCTAATGCGAGCGTGCGACCCCGCTCGCTGTCGCCTCCACCACCATGGCCTGAGGCGCTGCGCCGCCTCACCTCCGGGTCAGTCTACTGCCAAGGATCTATAGTCCATGACAGTCGCGTAGTAGAGTTTGCGCAAAGTATATCAACTCAACCGCTCATCTTTCTTCTGTTTGCTCAATTCTCATTCACGTGGTTGCATGCAAACACCTTAATTAGCTCTATACACAATTAACTAAGTCAATTATCTAGCTGACCACCAATCTTTCTTTAGGCGATGTCTAATAAACAGGGTTATCATGGTGAGTTGACATCTAGACCAATTTGTTTATTTATTTATTTTTTTGTAAAATGACCAGTTTTGGAACAGTGGGGGTACTGTTTATATGAGCCAGTTCTCGCGCCACTAGAAGCCTTATGACTTCCATGTGTCATTGAAATTGATGAATTTTCTTGTTAATTACTGCAAAAAAAATATCCCCTCTATGCCACTCTTGATGTATTTTGTTACTCTTTTTTCACGGAAAAGAGCTACGGAGAACATTCCAGCCCATTGAAAAAACAATATTGCCCCTAGTTAGACTGATCTAAGGGACCCACCAAAACCAACCTTATCCTTCCCAACGGCAGGCAAAGCCCCACAGAGATATGTTTATACCTTCTTAGGATGAAAGAAATTAATGACACTAATATGGAAAGCAAGTATCAGCATACTATTACTATCATATGTCTCGATCTCCAGTGCTAATATGAGCCACATATCTTACATAGAAATGGATAGTTGAAATTTCAAACGACGCTGAAAGCCCACTAGACTGATATATCTTACATATCTTACATAAAAATGGATAGTTGAAATTTCAAACCGCGAATCGGGTGTCCATTGCGCTAGCAACGTTTCTTCTCCACCGGCCGGTGCAGCATCTAGATAGGCCATGCATGGACCAACAAGCTCCTCAGGTTCCTCGCGTCAAGCTCGGCACTCAAGGATTAGAGGTAACTCATCCATCTTAAGCCTTGTTTAGATGCACATGTATTCATCTCAATCCAGATGTGTTGAGGCCTTGTTTAGATGCATATGTATTCATCTAAATTCACATATGTTGAAGTGTATTGGAGTGGAATTAAACTAAGTTCCATTCCATTCCAACACATGTGGATTAAAGTGAATACACATGCATCCAAACAGGTCTGAAGTGGATTAGAGTGGAATTAAACTAAGTTCCATTCCAATTCACTCCAAACACACGTAGATTGAAATTGATACATATGCATCTAAAGAAGGCCTTATAATATATACTCTGCACCTACTATACTTCATTCCATCCATCCTAGCAGGCACAGTGCGTGACTTGTTTGTTCAGTGCAAGTGTCGAAGCTAGGCCTCAGATGCTTGGGGGCTGACGGGCGCCTACAACTTGCTGCTCAACGACGAGGCTGGTGCCGCTGTAGTCGTGCATGCCTTCTGAGGCGTCACCTTCTTCAACACCTCCGACTACTACGGGCCCCTTACTTACGAGATACTCCCCGGCAAGGTCTCGTATTTCTCCTTTTTTTCCAAGTTTCTTGCCTGGCTTGAGAGCCATGCCATGGTGGAGATCTTGACGTGCACTACCAGACCAGAGAAAAGTCCTGTCGGCTACGTGAAATCCTGACATTTTCTAAAAATCTGACGGGAATGCGAGACCATTCCAGTCGGTCGTTGAAAACCGACGGGAATCAGGAATATATTTCCTGTCGGCTTGTTAGAACCGTCAGGAAAATAATATAGCTGTCAGGAAAGAGTTTAGATTCCTATCGGGCTCTCCAAACCGACAGAAACTTATTTCCCGTCGGCTCTCAAACCGACAGAAAACATTGTGTCATGTGGAAACCGGAGCCCCGCGCGGGAGAAAATGAAGACGGCGCGTTCCTTACGGCTGCCCACCAGGAATATATTTCCTGACGGTTTTGTGTCTATTCCTGACGGTTTCTGGCCGACAGGAATTTTCCCTGGCCTGGTAGTGGTGGGGAAGCTGCTGTGTGTGTTTGCATGCAGGCGCTGAAGCTGCTGCTGCGAGAGCAGGTGTAGGTGGCCACCAAGTTTGGGATGCGGCGGGACCATGATGCAAGTGGCTCGTGGGGCGTCTGTGGCCGGCCGGAGTACGTGGGTGCCTGCTGCGAGGCCAGCCTGCACCGCCTCGATACCGCCTCGATACCACATCGACCTATACTACCAGCACCGTGCCGAAACCACCGTGTCCATCGAGGACACGGTACACCAGCCTTCTTGCACATTCCAGCTAGTAGCTTGCATCGTCTCATGCATGTTGTTGCCTGAATGCATATGCATGCTTGATTATTGGTGCAGATTGGTGAGCTGAAGCAGCTGGTGGAGGAGGGGAAGGTCAGGTACATCGGGCTGTCAGAGGCGAGCCCCGACACGATACGGCGCGCGCACGCCGTGCACCCAATCTCAGCGGTGCAGATGGAATGGTCTCTCTGGTCTCGTGAAATCGAGCCTGAGATAGTTCCACTATGCAGGTGATCCAGTTCATCACAAACACTGTTTTCTTTCGACACCTCATTAATTAACTCTATCAATTAATCATGCAATGAGATTTGTACGTTCTACTGTGTGTGGGCTCCGTCCAGAGAACTGGGCATCAGAATTGTTTCCTACAGCCCCATTGGCCGTGGGTTTTCGGCGGAAGACACAACAAGTGCCTGCTGTGTCTAGGCATAAAAACGATACGGATATTTTTCGACCGTATTCGAGACCGAATCTGTTTAGAGGGGTTTAGAACCGTCTGTATCCGAATACGGATATTCAACATCCGATACCGTATCCGTATCCGTATTCGAATACTCAAATCACATATTTATGTTGTCTGTATTCAATCGTATCCTACCCAGCATGGTTGACACTATCCGTATTCGAATTTGAATCCAAACAAAAATATAAAAATAAATGTAATATTAGTGATATCCGTTCGTATCCATCTGTATCTGATTCGTTTTCATCCCTAGCCGTGTCTAATCTGGTATGGAATGGATCGATAACGTTGTTTTTATCTTATTTGAAACAAGTTTCTTCTTTTTCTTTGCCTCAGTATTTTTTTATTAGTCTGCTTATTACTTATTAGGCTCTTCAGCTTTGGCTTTCTCAGCTTGGTATCCAAGGTTTGCAGCAGAAAATTTGGAGAAGAACAATATATATATATATATATATATATATATATATATATATATATATATATATATATATATATATATATATATATATATATATATCTCGCGATGGAAAACCTTGCCAACAAGCACCAGTGCAGCTGCGCTCAGCTGGCTTTAGCTTGGGTTCTGCATCAAGGGGACGATGTGGTTCCTATACCAGGTCACCTTTGAAAACCCCATCCCAAAATTGTTGATATAGCATTCAGTGTTTAATTAACCCAAAGTTACCATTTATCAATAATTCATCAAATTATCATCTTGATACATACATTGCACGGATCAACAGATGACCTTATTTGGAACACTTCTCTGTTAATAATGCATTTCAGAGAGGATTGAAATGTGTAGATTTCATTGGTCATAGACATTTCTCTTATAATGGTCTAATTTGCTTTGGCAGAGGAACAACAGTGTCAAAAAACATAACCAGGTAATATAACCACATGACAATTATTTGGCTTGCATATATTATGCTTTGCTGACCTAGAAATTCATGTGGTTGTTTCAAACTTGATTTTTTTTTGTTACGCCAGGTTTTTCTATTCACTTTGATATATATTCATCGATGTCTAGCTGATACGTGTCATCATTATGTGTAGACAAGCTCATTTCTTAATTATATGCCCGATCGTAGAGAAAGGATTAGTTACTGAAAAGTATTCTACAAAATTAAGAAGGGACAACGAAGA